CAGGAATTGTTGTTGTTGTTGTTGTTGTTGATGCGCTATCGGAGGAAAAGGTGGTAGGACCTGGCGAATCAAAGCCCGAGTCGTCTCAAACACCTGCTGAAGGGGGGGTTAAGATGGTTCCCGAGTTCTCGCCTTTGAAACCCACACGACACGAAACCCGGACGGGTTCCGGGGACCCCCCCCGCATTTCCCCCGTTCACCCGCTATTCCCCCACTCACGCACGACTCACTCGCCGCAAATCCCCAGTCCAACTGTACGGCAAAACACATCCAAGTCCCCGCCGGCGACAGAATTCCTCCTCCTCTCTTTACACGAATCGCTACTAAACCCCCACACTCGTTCGGAAACTCGCTCCCCTTCCCCACACACATACATACATACACATATACACACATACATACATACACACATACACACCTGTAACCCCAACGTCAGGCGCAGATCTCCCCCCGCCCCCACCATTGCCAGGGTTGCTGCACGAGCCTTCAAATGACAGGTAGGGTGATGTGGGCAAATAGAAGTTAGGAGTTAGGAGTTGGGAGTTGGAATCTGTTCAGTCAGAACGCTGGAAGGTGCGGGGAATGTGCGGCGCGTAAGGGTTGCGTGTGCGCGTGTGTGTTTATAGATGATGATGATGATGATGATGTGGGGGTGGGGGTGATCACCTCCCAGGGGGGAACCCGACAAGCGACCGTACAATGCGGGCGGAAGCACAGGATCGAGGGTTGGAGGTGGCGTGTCGAGTTGTGGAGAGGAGATTTCGCAAAGCGGAATAAAATGGTTCCGGAGCTGCGCTGCGCAATGACGTCGGCTCTGCTCGTACTCCTCTACGCCCGCTGCTGCTATTTACTGCTACTGCCACTGCTACGGGCTACAACCGCCTCCCCAGCCCCCAGCCCATACACACAGCTACAAACCCTAAACCCCCCAAATACATACATATATACATACACACAAACATACACACGCACGTACCTGCTCCTGAGGATCCACATCCTTGGCGCGCTGCCGTCCAGCCATGCCGGGCCCCCCTCCCCCACCTCCCCCTACTCCCCCGCCGTACCCTCCAACACCGGTTCCCATCTGGGCTCCGAACCCCACCCCTCCAGGGTGCCGCTCACGTCCCACTCCCAACGCGCCCGGACCTCCTCCTCCCACCACTCCAGGGCCGTACCCCCGTACACGTCCACCTGGCCCCAACGGCCCCATGCCGGCACCCATACCCGCCATCCCCTGCTGCTGCTGCTGCTGTTGGTGTACGCCTCCTCCAGTGGCAGTGGCGGCAGTGGCATTGCCACCATTTCCTGTAGTAGTAGTAGTAGTAGTGGTGGTGGTGGTGGTACTGTTGTTGTTGTTGTTGGTAGGTAGTGCGAGTGTGGCCAAGTCCAGGAGGGCGGCGGGGAGGCCATTGTCCGGGGACAGCAGCTCAGGCAGCTCGGAGGGGGGACTGCCGGCCTGAGGACACATAGAATTTGGGGGGGGAGGGAGGGGGAAAAGGGGGGGGAAGAGGGGGGTGACCAATGTAAGGCGACGTGTATTGTGTGTGTGTATACGTGTGTGTATGTGTGTGTGTGTGAGTTGTGTGAGTTGTGTGTGTGTGTGGAGTTTTAAGGTTACGGGAATGAAAAAATTTAGCTAAACTGCCGACGTTGGGTTGGTTTGGGTGCGGCAGTTGGGCTAGGCTGCATGTGCAGATCGCGATAAGAGGTTCACCGCTGCAGCTCTCCTCCGAAACCACCTCTTCCCCTTGATTCCCTCACCCCCGGGGCCCCGGGGCCCCCGCTCCGAAGTCACCTGCACTGCCAGCTGCCCCAACGTGGCGGCTGCAAACACACGTGCGGGCGCGTATCGGGCCCGGGTACCCCCCCGGGTACCCCGCCGTACAAGCAGTAGCAGGACGCGGTGGGCCGCGGTGTCGGAGCGTATCTGACAGAGGGGGGGAGGGGGGAAGTAGAGGGGGAGGAGAGGGGGAGGAATGGCGAATGGTATGGGAAGGGAGAAGCGCCCCCCCCCCCTAGTACGGCATGGTACGGCGTAGTACGGCAAGGCACTGTCAAGCGTACATTTTGGTCCACAGAGTCATTGACAGACAAACGAAAAGACAAAGAAACAAAGAAAAACAGACAGATGGACAGACGGACGAACCTGCTGCGCCCACGCCCTGCACAGCGGGTTAGACACAAGCGCCCACACAGCCGCCGCCGCATGACCCGCAGATACGTCGAGCACACCCGGCGGCGTGCCAGCGCCCGGTACGGAACCGCCGCCGCCGCCACCACCCTGACCGTACTGCAGTGGTTGTAGCGTAGGCAGGACGAGCAACTTCACCAGGCTCTTGCAGCTGCTGGCGGCGTATTCGGGGAAGCGGCCTTGGAGGGGAGGTCGGGGGAAAGACGGAGGGGGTTAGAGGGAAGGTCGGGGGACGGCGGTGGTAGTGGTGACGACGGCGGCAGGGGCGACGGCGGCGGCGACGCAGAGACAGAAGACAGTGGCTGACCCATGGGTGTGATGGGCTGACCCGTGGGTCGGACAAACGAGCCAAGGCCAGACATGCTGACCCATGGGTCGCGACTCCAGCCCAGCCGTTCCCCCAACCTCAACCCCACACTCCCGTTCGCTCGTTCGTCGCATCGTCCCTCTTCACCATATCGCCCCCCCCCTCCCCGGACAGCCCCGGACAGCACCTCAACTCACCGAGTACCCCCAGCACTGCCAGTTGCCCCACCACTCCCGCCGCCGCCCCCGCCACGTCAGCACCCATACCCGCATTGCTGGGGTCCACTGAGGAAGGTGGGGGGGG